TTTGTGGTTGTGGTGGGTGTGTTGTGTGTGTTTTTTTTTTTTTTTGGGGGGGGGGGGGGGGGAGTTTGGCTTTTTTTTTTGCTTTGTTTTGGTTTTAAGTGGTATATTTTTGTGCTTTTTCAAGAAACTAAACTGTTTTTTAATGAACCAGCCATTCATGTATGCAGCTTCAAGCAGATGGGTAAAATCACATGGAAAAAAACACTTGCAAGACTAGGCCCATACTACTTCAAAATAGGTCAAAGCCAGTAAAAGATATTCAGGTAAACCTTATAGCCTATTAAAAGGTCACGTCTGATTATCATCAACCTAGATAATTACCTTAGGATACTTCATGTATAAACTTATCAGTATTGCTACTACCACAGTAACAATTATCATCCAGTTAGAAAAAAGTCACCTGAAATGGGTAAATATCCCCAGCATGGTTCAGCCAGAGCGCAGATTGCTTCGTGACTACAATGACGGCGGTATGATAGAATCACAAACGTGCATACGAACATTATGACAGCCTCAACAAGGGAATCAAAACCAGACTTGGCATATTGAGGGTAAGGTCTTAAAACCCCTGAGACTAACAACTAACTGTCACTTTCAGATGTTATAGGAAACCCTCCTGGCAAGCGGCTCTGGCACAGAGCGGTCACAGTCCGTTACACCCCAGAGCAACAACCCACAAGTCTTCTTTTCCCAGCCTCCAGGCTGGTAACGAGAAAGGTAGCAGAAAGACTGCATTTCTGCTCACAGGGAGGCGCAGCAGTTCCTAGAAAGCAAAGGACATATCTGTTTCTGAAACGTATGAAGAAGTCCTTTTTTGCAGGATGATCAAGCATTGTGGCCAGTTCACCACCACAGCCTTTGGAAATGGCTCTTCGGCTCCAGCACATCATAGTGGAAGCAGCTGTGATCAAGCAACGTTCTTTACCCAAGGCAATAGTCAGTGGGCAGGTCACCAAGAATTTCAGTAGGCTTTGCAGTAACATACAAAACTAACCATACTACATAGCTAAAACCACTACCTGAACAGCAAAATACACTATCTGATTATTTACCTACCACTAATTCACTAGAGACCTTCTAACTTCTTCCATCCATCTCTAACATTCTTTAACGCACCCAAAACCTCTCAATCTTAGAAATTATTGAAGTGTTAGATGAGGTCTAAACACGATGCGACAGAATCTTTCTTAGAAAAAGATGCATTCCTGACGGCATCTCAACTCATTGAAAAAAAAAATTTTATTTACTTGCCTAGTAACAGGCCAAATGAGCACCAAAGAGAAAGAGAAGGCAGCAGAGAACATCTACGAGAAGCTTCTCTATGCTTCAGTTTGCTGCAGTAGAATGGAGACATTCATCTACAGCAAAGGTATATTGTGGTCCTACATGCAATAATATTTTAAAGGATTGAATCTATGTTTAGTCGATATCATAACTAAAACAGTGTTAGAATACTTTTTCTAAACATCAGTACTTATGACAGTTTGTCAAAACCATTTCCATTGCATATCTTCTATAACATTAAAGTGAGATAAGCTCTTCAAGACTTCCAGCCTACACAGGCCATGGAAGGATAAAATGTTCCACTAATTCTGTGAGCATATTGCAGGCAAAAATGATGTAACTCCAGACTTCTCCATACAAATTTAAAGAAAACAGTTTGATGTTGGAAAAAAGGGATTACTAATACTGGTGTGAACATCATTAGGTGTAACAGGAGAAGAATACATTTACAGGTTTGATGATTTCTAACTATGCGGGTAATAAGGTTTTCAGCGTATTCTAAACCTTAAATTTTTCTGTGAAGCAGATTAAATACTTAACTCTTGCCAGCCTGATAAGAGATTTCAGGCCAAAGAGAAGAGTTTTCAGTGGGAGATGATTTGGTTTCTGATTGTTTTGGTTGTTTGTTGGGGTTTTTTTTATTGGAAGGTGTGAGGGGCAGAGAAGTGGGCACGAGCAGGGGCTTACCAATTCATTCCTATATCTAGCTGTCTAGCCTGTGCATGAAAAGCTCCCAAGATCTTTATCAAGGTAAACACCATTCAGGTAATTAAAGAAGTCCAGTATAAAAGTTTAAGTTACATGCTAATGTAAGAGAAAATAAAAGGTATTTTATACTGTCTATTAAAAAAGACACCTTAGTAGTGTTCAGGGTTTACATAAACTGAGAAAAACAGATGTTATGGGATGAATGGCATTCAACAATACTACAGGTTTGTTGCTAATAAACTATCCTATGATAACATAAAAGCAGGTTGTCAGAATCGGCACTGGTACTGTTTTTGCTGGCTTTCCTATAATTATTCAATCTTTTAGAAAATTACAGAAAAAGGAGAAAAGGAACCATCTTAATTTAATCAGAGATGACCTGTGAGTATTTAACATCATGGTGAACAGACCTGATGTGATTAGATAACTCAATCCTCCTAAACCATACTGTGCCAGTTATTTTGGAAACAGATGTTCCAAGAACAGACCAAGGAGACTGAACAGAAGATCAAATTGACTTAAAAGCTCTGGGGCAATGAGAAAACCCCCTCATGTCCACTAGCCGCTTTCAGTATGAGGAGCTCCAAGTCATAGGCTTTCTAAATACAAAGGTATTGCAGGAAGAAAAAACAAACCAAAAAACCCACCAAAAACCCACAAAACACCCCACACCACACAAAACTGCAAAACTGGCCGGAA